GCGTGACCGCATCTCCGTCTATGAACCCACACGTTCACTGCGTTCATCCGGAGAGGCCCTGCTCGTGATTCCGCCTGCGTCGCAGGTGCACTTGGTGGGGACTCGAGACAGGGCCTTTTCTGTGGTGGCCCCCCGACTCTGGAACTCCCTCCCAAAAGATCTTAGACAGGCCCCTACATTGACAGTCTTTAGAAAGAACTTGAAGACCTGGCTGTTCCGATGTGCCTTCCCAGATTAGGAATCCCCAATACCAAGTCCCAGAAGCACTTTAGTAGAACTAAGATTGTTGCACACTGCACTTACCCTATAATCCTACATACCTCCTGCCACATCAACACTTTTAATCTTGTACCCACTACTTTGGCCCGGCCCAGTTTTATAGTGTCTTGATGTATTGTTTATTGCTTGTTGTTAATATTGCTTTAACTGTTTTTAATTTGCTTTAGGTGTTGTATTGTTGTGTTGTGTTTTGAGGCCTTGGCCTATGTAAGCCGCATCGAGTCCTTCGGGAGATGCTAGCGGGGTACAAATAAAGTTATAATAATAATAATAATTCTCGCATGAGTTTCTCAGGTTCCTTCCAGACAGGCTCAAAATGTGGGAACTGTCTCAGGTTTACCTGAGGCATCCAAATGACACCTCAAGTAAACTCAAATTAAACTGAAGTAAACTTGGATTTCCCAGTTTACTCTGGATTAATTTGACACCTGGAAAGATCTGGAACTTAATGTAAGGTCCAGATCTTCCCAGGTGTGGGCCCTGTGGGGATTGACTCCCAGGACACTTCCATGATACCAGCGGTCAATGTCCACAGCGAGCCCAGTTCCTCTGGGGATTTAGCCCATGTCTGGAAGGGCCCTCAAGGAATCAGAGACTCCAAATATGACTTCAGTTAGAAAATTAGTAACTTTCTGTTCTGCCCGTAGGTTGTAAAAAATTACAGCCTAAATGATAACAGGGATTTTGAAATATTTCTACAATGATGTTCAGGTGTTGGTGTTCTTTTCAGATGTTGGTGTTTTGAACTATCTGATCTTCTGTCTAAAATGACAGGAAATTGTTTAAAAGTAAACAGACCTATTAATGCATGCTACTGGTCCTGATGGCTTTGTATTCTTCCCAGTTCAAGAGGCAGCACGTTCCTTAGCATCTAACATGAGGGTCAGAGCAATTCACAAACAAAACAGGCTGCCTGGATAGGAGAAACTGTCTCTTTACGATTGTCCAAGAAAGATTCTATGTGGTGGGGGTACTCCTGCATAAAATAGGTAATTGGACTAGATTCCAATTTTGCTCTAGTTTTTATAATCATTGGCCATAATAACAAAACTTGTATTGTGCCATTTATGCATTGCTATTACATTTTTCATTGGCTCAGTGGAATGTCAGCATCCAATAGTTCAATATGAGCTGTCAAAGGAAACAATGTGTTCTTAATGCTGTAACCTTTAAAAATCTTAATATTTCGATTGGTTGGACCTTACGGATTTGATGTGATCATTCGACCAGCAATTGAAATGAATTGCAAGACAATAATATGCCTCAGCAGTTAAAAAGGTAAAAAGTAGACTATGCTGCCTTCTTTCATAACAGTATTTTGAATGTTTTTCATGCATAGAGACAAAAGATCAAAGGGGTATATTAGTCACATGAAAAACATAGGTTTGCCTGCCTAAGAGCCTAGCTTTAATTCAGCATCTCTATATCTATGTATTCTGCTGGAGAGTTATAAATGGATTTCTCCTCTATAACCATATTTATTTGACGTTTAAAACCAGTGCTGGAAAATCAATAATCTTCCGGTGGTTACAGAGCCTCTACCCCCATCATTTCTTCCATGCTGAGGCTGGCAATAGCTAGTGTGAACCAGGGTCCAATAACATATGTAAAGCCACAGGTTCCCTAACTGTGTTTGAAACTATTGGAATTAGAGTCACTGGGAGGCACCATAGTTTGAGTGGTAGACTAGGAGTCTAGGAGGCCAGTGTTCAAATGCCCACTCATCCATTGAAAAACACTGGGTTATCTTGGGGAAGTCATGCTCTTTCAGCCTCAGAGGAAGACCATGGCAAACTGATCTGAATAAATTTTCCTCCACCACCCCTCTGATAGGATCACTACATGTTGAAATCAATTTGAAGGTACATAACCACAAGTTATGTACCATAACTTGTACCCAGTGGCGCAGTAGGTTAAACCACTGAGCTGCTAAACTTGCTGATCGAAAGGTTGCAGGTTCAAATCCGGGGAGTGGCATAAGCTTCCGCTGTCAGCCCCAGCTTCTGCCAACCTAACAGTTCAAAAACATGCAAATGTGAGTAGTTCAATAGCTCCAGCGGGAAGGTAATGGCACTCCATGCAGTCATGCTGGCCACATGATCTTTGAGGTGTCTATGGACAATGCTGGCTCTTCGGCTTAGAAATGGAGATAAGTATCACACCCCAGAGTTGGACATGACTGGACTTAATGTCAGGGAAAGCCTTTACCTTTAGCTTTAACCACAAGTTAGGGGCACAAGTTCTAGAAGTATCCCAGTAGAGCAGTGGTTCTCAACCTGTGGGTCCTCAGGTGTTTTGGCCTACAGCACCCCCTGACGAATCTCTCTTCCTTGATGGCAGCAACATGAAAGTTGAAGAAATCCCAGCCAGTTTACCAGCTGTTAGGATTTCTGGGATTTGACAGACAAAGCATCTGGAGACCCACAGGTTGAGAACCACTGCAGTAGAGTATTAATGACTTAGCCTTTCTTAATTGGTCTGTGCTCAGTCAGACAACTGAATGAAGCAAGTAAACAGGCTTTGTCAATTGGAAATTAAGCTGTGATGGGTTTTTCTCCATTTACCTGACTATCTATATCATAGCATTTGTGTCAGAATAACATTTCAAAATAACAATATAAATAATTAAGGTGCAGGTTATGAAAGCCCTAAACGGTTTGGGCCCCACCTATCTTCATGATCACATCTCCTTCTGTGAACTGGCGCAAACTCTAAGATCTTCTGAGAGGCCCTCCTTTTGCTCCCACCACTGTCACAAGTACGGTTGGTGGGGATGAGAAAGAGGGCTTTCTCGGTGGTGGCCCCCCACCTCTGGAACGCCCTTCCAAGGGAAATAAGACAGGCCCCATCTCTCCCCTCCTTTTGTAAGAGCTTGAAGACCTGGTGGTTTCAACAAGCCTTTGAGAATGACCAGTTCTAACCTAGCCTCAAATATTGTTAAATATGGCCTTATACTTCCTACCTATTACCCCGGCCATCTGTCTAATAGGCCCTGGAAATGAGCAGCCACAGACCCGTACCTGCTATTGCTGTTAGCCTGTTATAGCACTGTACTTAATTCCCCATATTTTGAGTTTGCACTAGCCTCGACCCAGCCTTTTAATTGCTCTGAACAGGAATGATTATTTTTAATATATATGTGTAATTGTGATAATTTTATGCTTATGTTGCTTTGTTAGTTTTGTTATGCTATTTATTCTGTATGTTTTGGTGATGTTGCTTGGAAACTGCCCTGAGTCCCCCTCGGGGAGATAGAGCGGTATATAAATAAAGTTTTATTGTTTTTTAATTAATATTAAATAACAATTTCTTTATTTGAACAACATTTTTTTTTTAAAAAAGTGCATTTGAATTTGTCAATGGCCATAAATTCAGTTCTCTACCTATGAAACTCTTCCTATAGACCCATGAGGTGGAATGGAAAGATAGTCAAGGA